AGTGGCCCTACCCCCCAGGTGCCCGGCGCGTAAGTGGCCCCGCCCCCGGGAGCCTCTAAAGGTTGGAGACCACTGAGGTATACAATGCCATCAAGCAGATGAAGAAGAAGGCAGTAGGTCCAGCTGTGATCCTCGCTGAAATCTTTAAAGATGGTGGATCAGAGTTAATTTGTCTGCTTAGTTTGCTTATCCTTAAAATCTAGATAAAGGAGGAGATAATCAAGGCATCCGTCATTTCACTGGGTGTTGCCCTCTTTAAGAAAGGGGATAAAGTAGACTGGAAACTATCATGGTATCGTTCTTCTTGCTGTTGTAGGAAAAGTTCTGGCATGAGTCCTTGCAACCTGTCTTCTGCCCGTCAGAAGAAATTTTACCAGAGTCACAAAGTGGCTTCCGACCTTGTCCTCATTGGGATCTTCATTTCACAGCAGCTGCAAGAGATGTCAGGAGCAAAACTGACCACTGTACATGGCTTTCATTGATCAAACTTTTATTGAGCTTTTGACTCAGTGAATTGCTATGCCCTTTAGACTGTACTTTTGAAGATCTGATGTCTTGATAAATACATCAGTGTCCTAAAGTTGCTTCATGGAACTTGAAAGTGACTGTTTTGAGCAGCATTGGCTCCCAGAGTGGACCTTTCAAAGTACAAACAGGAGTCAAACAGGTTTATATTGTTATCCCAACCATGTTCACAGTCTTTATTGCAGTTGTTTTTTACCTAATTTCTGGGAAGCTCCCAACTGGTGTTGAAATCATCTACAAAATGGATGGAAAGCTTTTGTGAGGCTTAGCAGGCTGAAAGCGAAGAGTAAGATTTCCACCATATCTATTGTGGAACTTCAGTATGATGATGACACTGCAGTTTTTGCCCACTCTGAGATCTTCAGGTTATCTTGAACGTGTTTGGTGATGCTTATGCATGTCTTGGTCTCACCTTCAACATCAAGAAAACCAAAGTGCTCCACCATCCCTCTCCAAATGAGGTACCATGCACCCTATCTATTAAAATCAATGGAGAGGCATTGGAGAATATCTATCATTTTCTCTGTTTTGGAAGTTGTCTTTCATCCAAGGCTGTTGTTGATGTAGAAATCCAGCATTCTCTGAGTTGTGCCCCTGCAGCCTTTGCTTGTTCACAGCACAGGGTTTTTGAAGATCATGACATTCGAACAGACACCAAACTTCTTGTCTATCAAACCATCCTTCTTCCAACAAACTTGTATGGCTCAGAAACCTTGACAGCCTATAGATATCACTCAAAAGTGCTTGAGAAGTATCACCAGTGCTGCCTCTTCAAGATCAAATGAGAACACAGTCACCCTAACATGAGTGTTCTAGAAGAAGCATAGGCCACTAGTATTGAGTCAGTGATCATCTGTCAGCAATTTTGCTGGACTGGTCACATTATTTGGATGCCAGACTATTGCCTCCCACAACAGGTCCTGTTTTCTCCGCTGAAAGAAGGATACTGTAGCGTGAGAACATAAGAATGGCCATACTGGGTCAGACCAAAAGTTCATCTAGCCCAGTATCCCGTCTGCCAACAGTGATCAGTGCCAGGTGCCCCAGAGGGGGTGGACTGAAGACAATGATCAAGCAAATTGTCTCCTGCCATCCATCTCCAGCCTCTGACAAACAGAGGTCGGGGCACCATTCCTTACCCCCGGCTAATAGCCTTTTATGGACCTAACCTCCATGAATTTATCTAGCTCCTTTTTAAAATCTGTTATAGTCCTAGCCTTCGCAGCCTCCTCTGGCAAGGAGTTCCACAGGTTGGCTGTGTGAAGAACTATCTTTTATTAGTTTTAAACCTGCTACCCATTAATTTCATGTAGTGTCCTCTAGTTCTTATATTATGGGAACAAGTAAATAACTTGACTTTTCTTCACCCTTTCCATACCACTCATCATTTTATATACCTCTATCCTATCCCCCTCAGTCTCCTCTTTCCTAAACTGAAAAGTCCCAGTCTTTGTAGCCTCTCCTCATATGGGACCCGTTCCAAACCTCTAATCATTTTAGTTGCTCTTTTCTGAACCTTTTCTAATGCCAACAGAAAGGACAACAGAAGCTTTATAAGGACTTGCTAAAGTATAATTTAAAGTGCAACATTGATGTTGATACTTGGGAGACACTCGCTCAATATCACTCAAAATGGAGACAAGTAGGGATGTAAAATTTCCATTATTTGGCTAATCAAATAGTCAATGCAATTAGTCAATATAGGACAACAGAAGCTTTATAAGGACTTGCTAAAGTATAATTTAAAGTGCAACATTGATGTTGATACTTGGGAGACACTCGCTCAATATCACTCAAAATGGAGACAAGTAGGGATGTAAAATTTCCATTATTTGGCTAATCAAATAGTCAATGCAATTAGTCAATATGGATGCTTCTGCCTTTGAAGTGTAGCAACAGCTGTGTGTCCCCCACTGGCCCCATGTACCCCACAGCGCTTTCGCCTTTGAAGAATAGTAATAGCTATTGCTACACTTCCAAGTCAGAAGCTCCCTTATCAACTAATCGAATAGTCTCTTTGAAGCACCCTCTCTTCCCCCCCCCCCGCCTCTTTCTGATAGAGGCAGCAAGGGGGGAGAGGTAAGCGACTAATCGACTGTTTATTATGCTTTTTGGGTAGTCGACTAGTTGTTCACATACCTTGAGACAAGTCCTACTCAGTGGCTCTCTGCATTTGAATTTGCCTGCTGACATGCTGAAGAAGAGAAGAGATTGAGGAGGAAGAGAGACAGGCTTCTTTCTATTCATGGTCAACAGCCTCCTGCTGCACCTGAAAACATCTGTCCTTGCTGTAATAGAACTTGTGGTTCAAGGATTGGCCTTATTTGTCACATGAATGTCCACAGCTCCCATTGAAGATGATCATACTTGGCAACGAGTGTTTGTCGTCATCACAGCTAGAGAAGTATTAGTATAATCATACAACACATTCGTGATACCTTTGGAGTACTGTGCAATTCTTTTAAGATACACGAATTCAAACTGGAACAGGTGCAGAGAAGAGCTTCTGGGATGATCAGAGAAAGGAAAAACCTACCTTATAAAAAGAGCTGTGAGAAGTTTGGCTTGTTTAGCCTAGCCATGTGAAGGCTGAGGGGTAGCCATGTTAGTCTGTAACTACAAAAAAAAAAGTCCTTTAGCACTGTAGAGACTAACTGAACATTGAACTGATTAACCAATTAAATTGATTAACACTGCTACTCTCTATGAACATATTAGATACATACTAGGGTGGGTGAAGGATGAGGAGTGAAGTGCCCATGTTAACACAAGAACAAATGGCTGTAAACTGGCCATCAACAAATTTAGGCTTGAAATTAGATGAAGCACAGATGCTGACTTGATTTTCCTGGGAAGGGGATGGAAGGGACTTAAACCCCCATTCTGCCCCAGGCCCCACACCCATTCCAGCCCAGGATGTTGAATGGTTAACCAGTTAACTGGTAAGCCTTAGCAGTCCCTCTCCGTGCTAGGTCCAGGCATGTATATGAAGTAAAAGAGAGTGGTTCCCTTACCTCTGTTCTGAAGAAGCAGCTCCATAAAATGAAGTACTTGCTGTCTTCTGAATTTCTTGTTTTGCATTTCACTAGGATATCACTTAAGAAATCAGCGTTTTTCTTCCTTGGATATGGCTGCAGAGACGAGAGTCCTAAGTATGACAATGTGGTTGCCAGGTCTCATACAAAAATGAATTAGTATCCAATAGAGTTATTCTGGCAGTGTGCCAAACTTTGCTTAACACTGTTGTGAGGAAAATAGTTGTGAGACCAGAGTGACTTTTTTTGCACTGCATACATGGTTTTACAATAATGCAATTATTTTAAAGAACTGGTAGAATTCTCAGGTAATTTTACAGATGCTACCCTTGTAAGGATTATGTTCCCATGAAAATTTAAAATATATTAAGGTTGCATTTTTTATTTACATTCTTGAATATTAATTTTGCATCATAAAAGTTGCTCCATGTTATATTCAGAGTTCTATGATATAACAAGTGGATATGACTTCATTAAAATATAAGACCGAAGATCTCAAGCATTATACAATCATTTATTTTTGGAGCATGCCTTGAAGTAGCTGGTATAAGCAGATTAGTTGGAAACTGAAGTAGTAAAGTTGCATGTTTAATACATTGTCCACTAGTTTTGTTTGTCTTAAATTTTGGTGTCCTGCTTGAGACATCTTAAAGGGGCCTGATTTTGAGGTGCTGATCATCTGCAGCTCTCAATGACTCCAGGTGCAGTTGTGGGTGCTAAGCAATTCTATAAGACAGGCCATAATTGTGTCCAGCTGGACAGCAAAAACTAATGGTTGCTTTTGAAAACTTGGACTAGAGGAATAGTTGTCAGACTTGGGAACACTCTAGAATCAAGAACTCATCAATCTGTTCTTTAATGTAATTACTAGAGGCACTCCCTCAACTTAAAAATTAGATTCCATTATGATAGTGAATTCATGCCCAGTATTTGAGATAAAGAAACAGTTTTTAGGGGTCCATGGTCATCTTTATTAATGTTTTGTTCTCTTTCCTTGCAGGAGAAACATGTCCATGACAAGTTGGTACCTCATAGTTTGCTTCAGAAAGACTTTGTGCCTTTTCTGTTGAATTTTTTAAGGGAACAGACTAGTCAGATCTTGACCAATGGGCCCTCTACCCCTGCTAAAACTCCAAATTCTAAGGCCCTCAGGAGCACGGCTAGCCATGGGAGCCAAAAGACAGGATCAGATAGGAGGGGGAGCAACACAGCAGGGTCATGCAGCAGCCGAATGCAGCTCTTTTCCCAGAGGACGGCTGCTAGCACCTGTAGCCGGGACACTAGTTTTCCCTCTTCTTCTGCATCAAGCGGTTCTTCTGCCTTTAGTGAGTCAAGCTTTTCTAGCCCCTGCAGTGATTTTCCCATCATCAGACAGAACTTTGGTTGCAGCCCTGTGTTCACCCACAATGAGAAACGTTCATCTCAGAGGGCCAACTTGGGCATCTTCCTAGTGCCCACACCAGATGTCCAGTCAGTGAGGCGAGGCAGAAGAAGAGGCAACAGCTCTGCCAATGCCACTGGCCGGCAAGTGGCTCGGGACTTAGGGCGAAGCCTCACTGAAGAGGACGATGGGAAGGGTGACAGCTCTTCCTTGAGTGGCGGGAGGAGGAAGCGGACTGAGGTGGGTCCTACCTCAGCCAATTCCCCACCTGATCATCTGAATCTCAACAACTTGGAGGAGTTCCCACCCATGAGTGCTGCTTCTGGCTTGACAAAGTAAGAGCAAGTCTTGTTGCATTCTTATTTTTTCTGATCGTGCTGGCAGCATTGAAAATACTTTATTTCTTGGGGGCAGCTGACGCCGTTAACTCCCAGAAGAGCAAGTCTTGTTGCATTCTTATTTTTTCTGATCGTGCTGGCAGCGTTGAAAATACGTTATTTCTTGGGGTAGCTGACGCCGTTAACTCCCAGGTAACAATATATAGGTACTATTGTACCTTCTTGGTGATGAATGTTTTGTAGGTTGCAGGTTGGGGGCTGCAGGGAAGTGGGTGCCATCTGGTAATGGCCTGGGTGAATGGTTGACACGTGGGTTCTGTTTGAATCTTCAAGTGTATGAATTTCCCGATTGCTAATGATCTCTTCTAGCTGGGACTTCCTTGTGGTACAAACGAGGGATGTGAACGAGTAGTTGATTGGTCAATAAACCTAGGCTTATTGGTTAATCTAGTCAACTACTTGCATTTCTCCCCCAATTTGCTACCTCTATCAGAGGTAGCAGGTGGAGGGGAGCAGGAACCAGTACTAGAGGGGAGCTGGCTTTTAGAGGCAGCAGCGTGTGGCAGGGGGGCAGGCAGGGGAGGCTGCCGCAAAGCAGCCTCTGTCTGCGGCCAGCCCTGGCCCCCCATGGACAGGGACTGCTGCCACCTGACGCTGATGCCTCTGTATCAGAGATAGCAGTGTGGGGCAGCAGGCAGCCCGTCTGCAAGGGGAGACGGTTTGTAGACCGGCTCCTGCCTGGCACCCCGTACTGTTGCCTCAGACAGAGAGGCAGCAGCATAGAGTACAGGGAGCTACCTGAGAATGGGGCTGGATTGCACTGGCTGCCGGCCCCACCCCAGGGACTATAAAATAGTCAATTAACTGCTAAAATTCATTTGGTTAATTGACTATTCAATTAACCAAACTACTGGTCCTTTTTGCTTGTTTTAAATGACAGCTAAGATTCACCATGAGGTCTCAGTAAAGGAGAAATTAGGCCCTTGTAAGGGATCTCACGTTTGCCACCCAAAATCCCTTTTGAAAATTTATGTTGTGGCTACTTGTAGGAATCTGAAGGATGTGTGATTCTGAAGGGTCTCTTCAAATCAAAGCAGGGGCTTCTCTGGCTAGACTTAGCTGAAAGTCATGTACGTCTGGCCTACTACTCCTGCCCACCTTAACTCTTTTTCCATTTACTAGACTTCAGAGGTCAGAAATCCTAATGGGACACCACAGTAGCTGATGCACAGCTCTCCATAGCACAGTGTAGGCTATCAGTATTCTCTTGCTGTCAGTGGCCTCTTCCTCCATGAGGAATTGAGAATGCCTGCTGTCTTTCCAGGAGGTGTAAGTACAGTTGAATGTGTGTTTACTGTTCCTCTCATGCCTGGTCTACCCTGAGGTTATATCTACCCCTCCTCCCCCCCAATTAACCACCTTACATGAAGGGTCAGGTTGCCTGGTCTTTGCAATGGCACCAACAAGTTCTAGAATCAATTAATTGAACTCATTTTAGAACTGGTTAGCAGTGTTCCTTGTAAGCTGACTGCTTGGGTGGCCACCCAGAAGAGATTCAAATGCTGCCTAGCTGATTAGCAGAATGCCTGAAGCCAGCAGCATGTGTTTCTATTAGTGGTGCACATCTGCATATGCCTTGGTGCACATAATGAAATTTATTTAGCATATGGATGGAAAAAATTAGAGGGAACACTGCAGGTTTCCTAACGGGTTGCACATGGAGGGAGGGGATTTAAAGATGAGAAATCCTTATCTGAGAGAGGGCATTGCCTAACATGGTGTGCATTTTCATCACAAACAGTATGTTTCAAGCTGTGCAGCGTGACTGATGTGAAGTGCAAGGAAAGAGGTCAAATATAGTGTTACTTCTGTACTTACAAGTAGCCTGAGGGCCCTAGCAGTTAACATGTAGCAGGCAGCATATTCATTGGAGCAGTGGTCCCCAATACGGTGCCTGCGGGCGCCATGGAGCCCACTGGGCCATTTCTGTGCACCCGCTGAGTGATCGGGGCTGGCCCTGCCCCCGGGCGCGCGGCGCAGGGACTGGCTGAGTGATCGGGGCTGGCCCTGCCCCCGGGCGCGTGGCGCAGGGACTGGCCCCAAAAGGATGGGGACCACTGCATTGGAGAAATAGATGTCAGATGTAGCATACTGCTTGTATAATTTCTACAACATTTCATTGAAAATGACACATTACTGCTCTTTGGAGCCTTTTGTCCAAGATTCTCACAGCACTGCACAAATCTTATGCCCCACGTCACCCTGGTGAGATGAGTAAGCAGTATTATATGGCTAGGTTAAATGAGAGGCATCAAGAGATTAGGATTTGTCTAGGTTACAAAGCAGGCTGGTGGCAGAGGCAGGAATGGAAATATGGGAGTGCTGATTTCCAGTGATCCTCTTGGTAACTAGGTCATGATTTCATGCATATTTTGAAATTGTATAAATAACTGAGAGCAGCCAGAACTAGGCATATCCTGTAAATGTAGGACAAGTGGTGTAGATAAGTAAAATAGTATCCTTTTTTTTTCAGTTTTCCTCTATGATGATCATAGTTACCTTTAAGTCATAGCAGTGGAGTAGCAGGAATATGTTGTACTTTGTCAGGCTCATTGAAGTCTATATTTGTAGGATGTACCCATTCTTTTTCTACTGGGCAGGGCAAAATTAGCCATTCTGCCAGGTGTGATTACTATTCCTCTGTAACTTGATTCTCTCTTTCCTTGATTCTGTTTTAAGTTGGCATCAAAGTCCTCTGAAAGAGTTTGATAGATTTTACTGCTATTTTCTCTCTTGATGATCTGTTTATACTTTAAGTGGAAGCCTCTTTAAAATTGTTTCAGCAAAAGCAAGCCATCAAGACGAATCAACCCAACTCCAGTGAGTGCTGAGCGCCCCCTCTCAAAACCTAAGATGTGTTTCACATCCACACCAGTCAGCCAGTCTCCCGCTGCTTGGTTTCCGTCTGGGACCAATCTTGACACCTTTGCTGCTATCCAGGAAGGGAACGTTACCTCCGTAACAGGAAGCAGTCTTCAAGAGGAGAGGGAGATGCTGAAGAAAGAACGGTACAGTATGAAGGGGGGAGGGGTATTTCATCTGTAGGGAATCAAGCTTTTCCATTACAGGCAGTCCCCGGGTTCTGTACAAGATAGGGACTGTAGGTTTGTTCTTAAGTTGAATCTGTATGTAAGTTGGAACTGGTGTCAGCCGCTGCTGAAACTGATCAGTTTCAACCGCGGCTGAATCTGGATGCCAGTTCTGACTTACATACAGATTCAACTTAAGAACAAACCTACAGTCCCTATCTTGTACAGAACCCGGGGACTGCCTGTATGGGCATAATTTTAAGAGGGTGAAATGGAAATGTTCTTTGGGGCTAATAGCCAAGCAGCAAATAAGACAGCATTCAAAACTCTAAGATACAGAGGAAGTAATAAGAAACAGCAAAAGGATGATCTGAGAAGGAAACTAACAGTGATTAATAAAATTAAAAGGAACCCTTTTAGGAAAATAAATCCTGTTAATGTAGCCAGGTGGATTACAATATTGGAAAAGACAAGGAAAAATGTTGAATAGACTGAAACTGCAGAACAGGTTAAGGATTTGTTAATACATATCATTATATAATATGGGTACAATTGCATATGTGCCTCACACGAGTCTGTGGAAATGAACTCCCAATAAACTAATAATCCTTTACATCTTGCTCATAAATTCTTGTGGGAGAGGGGAAGGGACCTAATGTTCTTACTTGTAACTAGTGTTTTTAAAGTGCCTAGAATACTACTGAAAATCTGTATAAATAATACAAAAAATCATAATAAAAAAGATTGATAAAGGTATAAGAATTTAGAACACTAATGAATTCAGTGCTACAATATGGGGGCTGATGGAGCCAGAAGGAAAGCAGCTATATTAGACAAGAGTGAACAAGAGAAAAAGTTTGGTTTTGATACAATAGATGAGTGACAGGTTATATAATGCTACATTAATCTGAATTCAGGTCCCCTACCACAGGCGTCTGGAGAAAAGCCGGGACTGCTGGGGGGGGGTGTGTGTGTCTCACCTGCACCCCCCCCCTCCAGCAGACTAGGGAGACGCGGGCGGGGGACCAAGACGCACCGCGGTCCCGCCGCCCAGGTCCTCCGCGGCTTTGCTCTGTGTCTCCCTGGTCTGCTAGAGATCAGCAGACCAGGGAGACAGGCAGCAAACCCTGTTTCTAACTGCGGATCCGACATAAGTCTGATCCGCGTAACTCCGGGATTGCCTGTATTACAACTCTACCAATAAGCTGAAATTAACAGAAAATATTCAGACTAGTTTGTATTTGTTTAATCAAAAATTAAGCTAAAAGCCGGTGAGATGAAAATGAATGTGGTATCAGACATACATTTCCAAATTCAGCCTTCACTCCTCACTTAGTTGTGCTTGTACTCTGCTAAGTGACTCTGGCATCATATTGGTCCTGAATTTATGGTATTTCAGTTAGTCCTTATTGCATTAATGCAAAGTTCTGAGAGTTAGACTGTACCCCTAAGCATATCTGTGTAACACTGTAGTCTTCAGATGATGCTTTGTTTTACCTATTCAAAGTTACTGAAAGCTAGTGGGTGAACATAGGTGTAATGTGGTAGGTATTCCTGGTATAGGACAGAGAGGGGGTGAACATAGGTGTAATGTGGTAGGTATTATTCCTGGTATAGGACAGAGAGTTTGAGTGATTTGCCTAAAGTCACATTATGAACAATAGCAGTTCTGTGCCTTAACCACAAGACCATTGTTTATCATTTGGTAGGAATTGGATGTATTAGGTAATAAACCTATTTCCTACATTGAAACTGCATTAGATTCTGTAAATTTATTGATCAGTTCTTACGGGAATCCAAGCAGACCATATAGTGAAGAATTTTTCCTACATTGACTGTAGTGTGTGTCATCTTCAATTCCCCTGTAAGTCACTGACTTTGAATTTCAGATACAAGTTGCTGCAGCAGACATCTCCTGGAGGGCTATCTCTGGATCCCAATACACCTACCACGCCTAATTACAGTTGGAGTTCAAGCCTCGCTACTGATAGCCAGCTAGTGACCTGTGCAGATGTCAGTAAGGTCTCCTGCAAGAAACAGCTAGAAAATCTGGCTCAGCTCTATTCATCTTGTATAGCAGGTAAAGAACTGGGAGAAGTGAGATGACTGTGGTATGGAATATCTTTTTAAATTCTATTTCCAGAGTGCACCAATGACTTAATACATGTATTTCCTGAAAAAATGAACGGAGACCTCCCACCTACTCAAAAGACTATATCTACCCCTACTGGGTAGAAGCCTAGAAAATTCTATGGGCCCTACATGATTATCTGAATCTCAGAACTCTTGAATTGTATTGGCCCAGCTGGTAATGTGGAGAGAGACCAGGTCTCTCCCTGACTATTCTTATTAAGTTGAAGTGATTTAGAAGCAGTTTTCAATGGTTACCTTTCATTTAACTTTTGGGGGTTGGAGTGGAGTTAAAATACTTGCTTTCTGAAATGCAACTACACAAATGAACTTGGCTGTGTATCAGCATTGTTGAGTTCTGTCTGAGACTGGAAGTTTGAGATTTGATTATCCTTGTTAACATAGATTAATGCTGAGTATCTAACCATTTTATCTCATTACTTCTTCCAGAAAACCTGGTTCCAAATATTTTCCTGGAGCTGTTCTTTGTTCTGCAGCTGCTAACATCCAAGGGAACGACAACTTTGGAAGATGGCGAGAATGATCTGGAATTCAGTCAAGGATGTAAAGGTTAGCAGTGCTACTGAATGGAGACTAGGTTGTTACCAGGACTGGTAATGGGATACAAAGCATATCACCTCTGATTCAAGGGGTTCAAATTCAGTGTCAGGGAATTAGTGACCAAAAGTCACTACACTGAAGACTGAGGCCTGTATTGGGTGAATTAGCATGTTTTAGTGAGAGGTGTGGAATACGGCATTTGGGTAAAGAATAAAAAATCCTAAAAGTTTGCTTACTACAAAAAGACCAGTGTCTATCTTTTATAAGTATCAGAGGGGTAGTCGAGTTAGACTGAATCCGCAAAAGCGGCGAGGAGTCCTATGGCACCTTATAGACTAACTGAAGTGTTGGAGCATAAGCTTTCGTGGGCAAAGACCCACTTCGTCAGATGCATGACATGCATCTGACGAAGTGGGTCTTTGCCCACGAAAGCTTATGCTCCAACACTTCAGTTAGTCTATAAGGTGCCACAGGACTCCTCGCCGCTTTTATCTTTTATAAAGCTCCTGTTAATATCAGGAGACGTTCCCCGAGGGAGCAAAGGGTGCATTTAGCTGAAGCTTATAGACCAGGCAAGAGAAGGTAAGTTTAAAAAAAAAAGTTGATGCATCCTCCATCAAACACGTTTGATGGAAGGAATGGATATTTTATAATCTTGGAGGCTATTGAAACCAGGTTATGTTAGCTCATTGTTATTGCCTAAGTTCTCTATGATTACCTGATAAAATAGATTTTCAGAGAGAAGAGTGATTTACCAGTTTTCTTCCTGCCATTGTTTCCTTCAAACCCAGAAATATTGCTGAACTCATACGTTTAAGGCATAGTTCTGCATAGGGATATGTGTGCAATTCCCACTAGTGGGACTTGTTCACATGTTTTTGGCAAGTTTGTACCTTACGATAAGCTAGTCGTCATCTTGGTTTTTGGGTAAGCTATGCATTCATGCAAGCCCTGTACATGTCTCACTCCCATTGACATCAGTGGAAATTCTATTACTTTGTAGGATTGACCCTTAAGAGGGATGCAGCCTCTTACCTAAGGCTCAGATTTAAGGAGTTTACATGAACACTCTGATCTGATTGATCAGTGTTAACTATGAAAGGTGAATAATTTTCTCCAATAAGAATACTGGTAACTATACTGATTGAAATAAGAATGTCCAGACTGGGTCAGACCAAAGGTCTGTCTAACCCAGTATCCTGTCTTCCAACATTGTTCATGCCTTCTGGGGCACTGGGCATTGTCCATAGCAGATAATCAAGTGGTCCATCCCCTGTTGCCCACTCCCAGCTTCTTGCAAAGAGACTAGGGACACTATCCCTGCCTATCCTGGCTAATAGCCATTGATGGACCTATCCTCCATGAACTTGTATGTTTTTGTTAGAATCCTACTATAGTTTTGGCCTTTACAACATTATCTGGCAAAGAGTTCCATAGGTTGACTGTTGTGTGAAGAGATACTTCCTTTGTTTGTTTTTAAACCTGCTGCCTATTAATTTCATGTGGTAACCCTATAATCTTGTTTTATGAGTAAATACTTCATTTTTTACTTTCTCCACATCAGTCATGATTTTATAGATCTCAATCGTATCATCCTTTACTCGTCTCCTTTCCAAGCTGAAAAGTTGCAGTCTTACTCATGTCTCCTCATGTGGAAGCTGTTTCCAACCCCTAATATCATTTTTGTTGGCCTTCTCTGTCCCTTTTCCAATTTCAGTTGTCTCTTGTGAGGTGGGATGACCAGGTATGCCCACAAGAGTGGCAATTAAATCCTAGGCTTCAAGGCAGGCTCCAGCTAATTACCACAGAGATGAGGAAGGTCGTCCTCTATTACACAACATTGTACAATTGGCCACATGTTAGAATGGTGTCTTCATAAGAGAGTTTTATCTTTGTGACATGTCAGGAAGGAGGATTTTGGTCTTGATGGACTAAATAAACCCTTGATGTGACCGGGTTTAGTAATTCTCGCATCCCTCTGAGTTAATTGCATTAGATTTTTCTATTCAGCTTCTGGATTTTCCACCGACTGTTAAACTCTATTTGTTTTCAGATGCAATGGAGAGGCAACATTTTCGAAATGTACACAACTGTGTTTATTTTGCTGTGCGGGTCTTGGATTGCCAATTTGCGTAAGTCAAACTTTTGTATTTCTTTTAGTGGGTTTGGAGAGTGTCAGAGTGTGAACGTGCAATAGAATGACACTGAGGTCATTTTAGGGGAAAGTGAGTAATTTGCCCAAATTTATGCACTGAATTAATGACTTGGCTGACTTAAAAATTAGGACCTTTCTTTGTGGTGGCTTTTATCCCATTATGCTTCAGTATAAGTGGCCCCACATGAAGGTGGTGGATTATGACAAAAAGCACCCAAAATGCAGTTGGAATCATAGAACTGGAAGAGACCTCAGAAGGTCATCAAGTCCAGCCCCCTGCTCTAGGCAGGACCAATTCCAACTAAATTAACCCGGCCAGGGCTTTGTCAAGCCGAGACTTAAACACCTCTAGGGATGGAGACTCCACTACTTTCCTAGATAACCCATTCCAGTGCTTCACCACCCTCTTAGTGAAATAGTTTTTCCTAATATCCAACCTGGACCTCTCCCACCGCAACTTGAGACCGTTGCTCCTTGTTCTGCCATCTGTCACTACGGAGAACAGCCTCTCTCCATCCTCTTTGGAACCTCCCTTCAGGAAGTTGAAGGCTGCTATCAAATCCCCTCTCACTCTTTGCTTCTGCAGACTAAACAGACACAAGTCCCTCAGCCTCTCATAAGTCATATGCTCCAGCCCCCTAATCATTTTGGTTGCCCTCCGCTGGATCCTCTCCAATGCGTCCGCATCCTTTTTGTAGTGGGGGGCCCAGAACTGGACACAGTACTCCAGATGTGGCCTCACCAAAGCCAAATAAAGGGGAATAATGACGTCTCTGGATCTGCTGGCAATGCTCCTCTTAATGCAACCTAATATGCTATTAACCTTCTTGGCTACAAGGGCACACTATTGACTCTCATATCCAGCTTCTTAGCCACAGTAACCCCAGGTCCTTTTCTGCAGAACTACTACTTAACTGTTTGGTCCCCAGCTTGTAACAATGCTTGGGATTCTTCCGTCCCAAGTGCAGGACTCTACACTTGTCCTTGTTGAACCTCATCAGATTTCTAGTGGCCCAATCCTCCAATTTGTCTAAGTCACTCTGGACCCTATCTCTGCCCTTAAGCGTATCTACCTCTCCCCCCAGCTTAGTGTCATCCGCAAACTTGCTGAGGGTGCAATCCATCCCCTCATCCAGGTCATTAATAAAGATATTGAACAAGTGGAATATCTAGTGGAATGCTTCATATGCCACCAGAACAGAAAAAATGGGCTTTTTCCTTTGTTACCTACATGGGATTATGGCATTTGTAGTGTATCCTGTTGATGCCAGTAGGATCCAGATCTCTGGTGACTAGTTGTTAAACGTGTGCTTGCAGTGTATATACTTTATTTAAATTTTCTCCCTCAATCTTGTGTGCCATGTGTGTTCTCTTGACAGAATTATTTCCCGTTTAGAAAAGGGGACATTGAAACTTCTGGCTGAGAATGAGCGGATTGCATCCTTTTCACCTGGCTTTCATGAGAGCCTTATGAAGGCTTATGAAAGCAGCACAGCCAAGGTAAAAAATGAATAGCCCTTAAGGGGTTAAAGATATGAAATTCCAAGACATTTCCAGTAATATGTTTGCCTTGCTCTCCCTTTCCACGGTCAGTTTGACTGTTCTGATATCTGTTCATCCTGCTCTGGGATGTCACTTCTCAGTTTATTTGAAGACCATGTTAAAACTATGCTTCCTTGCCCAGATTGAACCTGTGAATTGATTGCTAGGGTCAATAATTTGTAGCTGGAAATTCCTTTAACTAACTTGTATTTCGATTAGGGTGAAATCCTGACTCCATTGAAGTCTGTGGCAAAACTTGTGGTGTTTTTGGTAAAACGCTTAATCTACTCTATACCTTGGTCCCCTGTGTGTTAATAAAAATAATAGAATGTGGGGGGTTGTACTTCCTGAGAGCAATATTGAGAATAAAATCAGCTGATAATTGTGGAATGCTTGTGAGGAGGGTCATATAAATAGCTAGAGGTAGCAGCTTTGTTGAAGCTGCCTCACTGATTGAAAGGTTTCCTTTCTTTCAGCTGAGGAGAGATGGAGACATGGGAATGCCCCGCTATTATTCTCACCTTCTCAAAATCCCTTTTTTCTTTGAGTGCTTGCTCATGTCCATTGCATGTTAGGGGTATGTGTTTGCCACATGCGTCAATGCCAGAAGTTATTTCCTTAGCAGTATTTGTAGGGTAGCAGCTCTGGCAACACCTGGAGTGGTGTCCTTATGGCACTATGCTCCTGCCCCCCCCCCCCCCCAGTTCTTTCTTGCTGCCAGTGAAGATGCTTATGGGTACTGGGATTAGTGTGTGGGGGTTGCTGCAGCAACTCCTGACTTTAAGTGGTTTCCATTATATACAGGATTTACAGTTTATTTCAATGTTCACAGCACCTTCAGTATAAAAATTGTTCCAGTAACCCTGACAGTGCTAGAACTATTTGCTGCCTTGTGCTAGCTTTGTTAGTCATTCTGCCTAACAGCCTCTTCCTTTAAAATAGTTCATAGTTACAGTTAAGGATGTTAAGGACTAGTCGACTATCCGGTAAGAAAATGCTTATTGGCTAGTCAGTCAACTAGTCGATTTCCCCTTCCTTGCTGCCTCTATCAGACTGACCCCGGGCTCCATGAGGACGCTGTGGCTTTGAAATGCACAAGAGCCCCTGCTGGGGACTCTTGTACATTTTAAAGCTGGCATGCTGCGTGCAGCCTGGATTCAGTGGGACTTCCCATTGGCCCGGGCTGCACGCGGAGTTCTGCATTCCTCCTTCGAAATGTACAAGATCCCCAGCGGAATGTGGAAATGCCTGTCGAGTAGTAGATGGAAATTTCATCTACTACTTGACTAGTCAATTAACTGCAATTTTCCATCCTTAGTTACAGTTAGCCCTTAGTAGTTTTAGTTAGCAGTTTGTCCCAAATGGGACTTTGCATCGGGATGGGTAATGCCCTGATCCCCAGGTATTAAGCCATGTGATCACTGTAAGTGTCCCATGCCCATCAGCAACCCTCATAGCAGCTATCTGAGAGAATCTGGGAGAAGGACACATAAGTAACAGGTTTCACATTTGTAAGTCGTTTAAACCTAGGACAAAGAGGGAGAGGGACATTTGTCTCCAAGTGCCCCTATGGAGTTGGCATTAACTGTGGCACCAGAGCAGAGGTCCAAATCAGCCCTAAGCACCACAGCATTGGTGTGGAGCACCCCACTGGCACCAATTTCTTGATGGCACTGGTCTCCCTCCTAACCCTTTCCAAGAAGTCCAAGGAACTTACAAGGGGAAGATCTCCCATTTCCTGTAAAGGAGAGGGAAAGGCTGGAGGAGAGCCAGCACTTGCATTGGCTAACTCAATTTCTCCATAAGGGAGTCAGGTACAAGCTCAAGTTGAGTGGTCTAGCCCCCCTCCCCCTCTTCGTCCCCCAAACCCAGCAGTTTATGGTGGGGCCCTGGCCACTACCAGTTTGCAGTCCTCCTATTTGGCTTGGCAACTTCACTGAGTGCTCACCAAGTGCATGTCCGTGGTGTCTGCTTACTTGAGATGCAGAGAGTACAGATTTACCTGTACCTCAATGACTGACTTGTCAAAGGCCCCAAGTCCAAAGGAATGTTCGGGAACTACTGACCACTTGTGGATGTCTTGGCCTGGTCATGAACTCTGAAGCCCACACACATCCCTGTATGTAGGATAGAATTTATTGGAGCCTTACTGGGCTCCATTCACACCAGGGGTTTCCTGCCACAGGACAGGTTTCAGGCCTGGTTGAGCGTCGTCGTAGAAGTGTCTGCATTTCCCTTAACACCCAGAGTATGCCTGTGCTTGTTGGGACATTTGGAAATGTATCAGATGCCATGCCAGGCTCTACATGCGCACCCTTCAGCAATGGCTGACTTCCACCTACTCTCAATCCAGGGATCACCTGGACAAGCTCGTCACCATTCCCTTGGCAGTACTTACCTTGGTATGGTGGTGGATCAGGAGCGAAAATGTCCTAGGAGTGCCGTTGACAGCCCTGCTTCCTCTGAGTTGCTCCAGGATGCCTCAGACCTCAGCTGGGATGTGCACCTTCGAGGTGCTGTTGTGTACCTGGGGCTCAGTGAGAGATGTTGCCCATGTCCCTTCTATGACCCACCCTCCTTCCTCACTGTCAAAACTTCTGGCAAGAAGGAACTGAAGGTGGAGGGAGTGCATGGCGCCTGTTATACCTTGTGATGTGGGTGCTACTTCAGGGATTGCCAGAGCATTCCCCTATGGATACTGCTAAGGGTAAAACTTCCAGCACTGGTGCATGTGGTGAGCACACATCCCTAATATGGAAAGACATGTGGAACGCATCTCGAAGAGCACCAGTTATGAAACAGGTGACTGTATTTTTTGAGCTGACATGCATTGAGTGATTGTGAATGGCTATTTCTCCAGGGCATAACCCTGTTAGTTTTGTTCTCCTGGTCTCAGGATAGTTCCTCAGGATAGGAGATGCCCCATACCATCCTCTTTAGTGACTGCCTTTTCCGCACTAATGCCGACCAAGAGTTAATCATTTGTGGTTGTAAAATGAGTTTCTGAACAGCTTGACTGTGGTAATACCTAAGTTCACATTAATTTCTTTTTATCCTTCCAGCTGTTGGGCTGTGTCAAATCAGGGAACTGCATTATACTAATGGAATCTGTTGTATGTTCATAGGTATCCCTCCTGCTGCCTTCGTCTGTACAGTTTGTTTCTTTCCAGCCAGAAACTGACAATCGCTCTAACTTTCCAAGTGACAGGGCTTTTCATATATTTAAGAAACAAAGGTAAATGTCCTCTAGTTTTAGTGTTTGGGGTATGATTTATCTAGGATTACGAGCAGTTGGATACCGTAACATCCAGCAGGACTGCCTGTATAAAATATAGTGGGGATAGGCTTGGGAATGTTTTGCTGTAAAAACATAGGCCATTACTATTTACAGAGGAATTAGAACTGAACTTCTTCAAAGAATGGAAGCCTTAATTCTGCAGTTGTTGTTGATGTGCCAATGTAACACAGTTCTGGTTTAACTCTGCCTTGGGAGCTGCTACCTTTCTGTGTATCTCCTATTTTGTGGTGGGAGTCTGGCAGGGCACTTCCTGTTGACTTCTTTTTTCCTGTAGAAGTGATTTCATGTGGTTCCTATGTTCTTCACTTCTTTGAGGGATCCACTCCACTGGTTCACTTGCTTATCTGACCCCTAATCTGCCTAATGAAATGAATGTTTTGGTCATTATGTCTGAGTTTAAGCAGAGCAGTGTCAGTGCTGTGCTGCAGAATGAAACTAATAATTTCAATGGTGATTGTCACTGCTGCAAAATGGTAAGCTATATGAGGCCTTGGCAATGTGACTTATTCCATTTGGAGTATAGTCCATTGAAATATTGGCTGGGCTTTCAGTTGCTATTGGTTCAGATGTTGAAAGCTCAGGACTTGATATATGTTTGCATCTTTGGCTCAATAGGGACATCTTTTATGAATTGCTACGTGAGTGGGAGGATAACCGTGAAAAACCAGGCTGGGACTTCGAAATTGTTCTTGGCAACAGGATCAGGTAGGCAACTGATATTGCAGCTCTGATGTGCTAATGGGAAATACAGTTAAAAGTTGTTTTTGTCCCAGAAGCTAGTAGACCCACACATAGCATGGAGTTAATTATAAAGAAGCTGTTACTGTAAAGTACCATGTTTGGGAGCAGACTAGACTAATAGACTTCAAGTCCAGGAGAGACCATTATGATGATCTAGTCTGACTTCCTCTATATTGCAGGTGACTGAACTTTGCCCACCCACTCCTGAAATAGACCCCAATCTCTGACTGAGTTACTGAAATCCTCAAATTATTGCTTAAACGATTCAAGTAACAGAGTATTCACCATTTACTCTAGTTTACACATTCAAGTGACGCCTACCCCATGCTGTAGAGGAAGGCAACCCACTCAGCACTGTCTCTGCCAAGTTGATCTGGGAGAAAATTCCTTCCTGACCCCAAATATAGCCATCAGTTAGACTCTGAGCAGGTAGTCAAGACCTACCCACCGGACACCTGGGAAAGAATTATCTGTAGTTACTCAGAGCCCTGCCCATGTAGTGTCTCATCTCCAGCCATTAGGTAATTTTTGCTACTGGCAGTCACCAAAAGGCACATGTCATTGTAGGCTGTCCTATCATACCCTCCCTTCCATACGTTTATTAAACTCAGTCTTAAAGCCAGCTATATTTTTTCCCTCTGTTGCTTACCTTTGAAGTTCTGAAGCAGTCTTCCGTTCTCTGATGGTTAGAAATATTTGTCTAATGTCAAGCCTAAACTTGTTTGTTGTTTGGCTAGTTTATATCCATCTGTTCTTGTGTCCACATTGCTGCTTAATTTAAATATCTCCCCTTCCTCCCTAGTATGTATTCCTTCGATATATTTATAAAGAGTAATCATAGCTCTCCTTCAGCCTTTTGGTTAGGCTAAATAAGCCAAGCTCTTTGAGTGTCTTCTCAGAAGGTAGATTTTTCTCTTCCTCTGGTCATAGTAGCCATTGTTTCATCTGCTCCAGGTTGAATTTGTCTGTCTTAAACATGGGAGAACAGAATTGCACATAATACTCCAAATGAAGTCTCACAAGAGCCTTGTATAATAGTACTAACACTTCCCTGCCTCTACTGGAAATACCTCTCCTCAATTCATTCTGGGGATTTCATTAACCTTTTTCATGGCCACATCACATTGAAGGCTGATAGTCATCCAGTGACCAGTTAATACACCCAAGCCTTTCTCTTCCTCCATCCAAGTGATGAGGCCCCATCTTATAGCAAAAATCTATATTCGTCCCTAAATGCATGATTTGCACTCTGCACTATTACATTTCATTCCATTACTCCCATTTTACAAGGTCATCCAGATTATCTGGTGTGATGTTCTGATTCTTCTCCCAGCTTTGTATCATCCACCAATTTTATTAGCTCACTGTTACTTTGTGCCAACATCTGTAATAAAACTTAAATAAGATTGGTTGTAAGACTGATTCCTGAGAAACTCTGCTAGTAACCTCTCTCCAACCTGACAGTTCACCTTTCAGTATGACACATAACAGTCCTCCTCTTTAGCTAGTTCCTTATCCACCTTTCAGTTTTCATATTAAGCCCCGGCTTCTCCAATTTAACTGATTGTCCTGCACCTTTCAGGCATATTTGGCTGCCTGGCTGAATGAAGGAAATAGTGCTTTATGGAGCGGAGGAAGGGGGTAAAAACTGCTGCAAAAGGAATCAGTGTGGTTACTACTTGTTCCCTAGGGATGCAGGGTTTTAAAGGGGCAGCCCTGAGCCCAAAGCATCCCTTTTACAATGCAGCAGGCTGAAATAGGGCCTATCCACCCTTTAGGTTATAAAATACCAGGTCTTTGGTCAAGACCTGCTTTGGACATTACAATAGCTGCCACTTTTGGGGTTTGGGAGGGGCAGGTCTGAGAAGGAATTTTTCCCTTTACCACCCAAGGGTGGTAAGTTGGAGGTTTTTTTGCTTTCCTCACAGTGGGTTTAGGAAGAGCTATGTTCTTGCATGGCATGTAAGGCATATGTTGTGACTCGTTATGTAAGTATAGGGTAGATGTTCATGCAGATACTCCATAGGACAGGTATACAGTTGACCAGATAAATGGCTTGGAAAAGGGCTTAAAAAGAGGTATGTGTTAAAGGAACAAACGTGTGTGTGTTTGGGGACTCAAATGATTGGTACAGCCGGGAGCCAGCCTTCCATTTTTATAACCCTCTTTCTACCTCCTGTGATGGGCAAGGTCCTGACAATGGGTTTGCTGGAGTGACCTGGATGGAAAAAGAGTGGGAGCAGGTATGAGCCTCCCCACTTCCACAGGTTTGATGAGGCCTTGGCAATGGATTTGGTGGAGCACCTATATGGAAAAAAGAGGGAGAGCTAGTAAAAGCCTCCCTCTTCCCCCCAGTAATTACTGTGCTGTAGGGATGTAAGTGACTAGTCGACTAGCTGACCAGTTCGAGGGGGGAGGGGCGGAGGAGCCTGTGCTGGGGGGGAGCTGGCTTAAAAGCCGGTTCCCCCAAGCACCTTCTTCGCAGGGGGCTAGCAGGGACCAGCGTGAGCTTGGACTGTTGTGCTTCTGCTTTTTAAATGTATTAGGAGCCTGTGAGCCTCCCCCCTTATCGACTAATCGAGTGTCAATTAGTGATTAAACTAAATTTAACATCCCTACTGTGCTGTACACTTTTTATCTGCCAAGTAGTATCAGACATCTAATAATAAAGTTGCAGCCTGATTAATCCCATTTCAAAATTCTTTTTCTTTGATATAGTCAGACAATTTTTCATTGGGAAATGTATCCGATGCCTTACTGAAATCCTAAGTAAATTATATCTACTGCATTTTCTTTGCTTAAAAAGTCAGTTATTTTCCCAAAGGAGATCAGATTGGTCTGGCATGTTTCACCTTTTGTAAAACCATGTTGTGTGTTTTCCTGATTACCATTCGCCTCTGTCCTTAACGACTTTCTCTTTCAAAATTTGTTCCAAGACCTCGTTGAGGGCAAACTAAGGCCTATAGTTTCCTGGATTACTTTTTTCTCTTTCTTAAAAATAAAAACAATAGAATAGCAATTCTTCAGTTGTACGGTATGTGTGATGGAACTCCCCCACCCCCTTCCATGCTTTATGAAATGGTCTTATAAACACAAATATGTATAACTCAAAGATGCTTAGGACAAATTGCCTCATGTAACCTATCCATCTTTGTCTTAATCCACTGGATCTGTTTCTTATTTTGGTATGTCTCAGTCTTGTGTGTAAAATTAGCCATGGAGTATGGAATGGTTTATGGTTGTTAAATGTGTAAATGAAAGCCATCAATGGGAATTCTGCTGCTGGGAGGCCTCAGTGTCTGGGCAATTGTATGCAAATAGCCTTTTGTCTTTAAGCTTTAGCTGTGGCTGGTAGAGACTGGCCGGGTGACTTCTCATGCATAAAGGGAATCTTTAAAAACAGTAGGAATGTACGAGTGTTTGGTTTAAAAGAAAAGGAAGCTTTTCTTCACTCAGTGCAGTCAACCTGTGAAACTCCTTGCCAAAGGATGCTGTGGAAGCTAGGACTTTAACAGGGTTCAAAAAAGAGCTAGATATATTCGTGGAGGTTAGGTCCATCACTGGCTATTAGCCAGGATGGATAGGAATGGTGTCCCTAGCCTCTGTTTCTCTGGAGATGGGTGACAGGGGTGGGGACCACCTGTTGTGTTTTTTCTCCCTCTGGGGCATCTGGTATTGGCCACTGCCTGCAGACAGGATACGGGGCTGGATGGACCATTGGTCTAACCCAGTATGGCCATTCTTATGTCTTTGGCTGGCCGGACACCAGAGGGAAGGAACAAAAGGCCCCTGGGTGAAGAACAGCCCTGGTTTTGAAAGGCTTAGCTGGGAAATGAATAGTTTTAGGGTGAGTTTTATAATTTTGTCCTGAAGATTTAGTGTTAGAATTAGCGAAGCGTTTTCTGTTACTTTTAATTTGTAATCTACTTTGCTCTGCCTGTTCTCACTTATAACCACTTAAATCCTACTGCTTATACTTAATAAAATCACTTGTTACTTACTGTCAAGCCCAGTTAAAGTAATTATTACCTGGGAGAGCAATCAGTGTGTACATTGTCCCTTTTCATTGTTAAAGGGGGCTTACCTAAATAATTCTTTTGGGGTTCCGATCCCATTTGGGGAGTGGTATCCTGGGAAGTTGGGCCCTAAACTGCATTTTCCTTAGACCGGAAGAGATTTAGACCAAGCCTTGAGAAGCCCCAGAGAGCAGGAAGGCAAGGAGCAGTGGCCTTGTCAGTACTCCAGGAAGCTGCCTCCCCAAGGGGTCTTCTGTGTCCTCACCCCATCACAATATGAACCTCAGGTTTATAGATTAAATGTTCTTGCTATGGGGTTTGCAATTTCACCTGCCACTTCTAATATTCTTGGAAAGAGAGAATTCAAGGCCCCGTGAAGCTGAGTTGAGTTTGACTTCCATCTTGGATATGATGATTTCTACCCCCATATCTCTGTTGACATTAGTCAATTTGTCACTACCCCATAATTCTTACTTTGCCTCTGTTTTAATGAGGCTAATGATTTGTTCAGGTGTTGGGCCATGCCTTTAATCACACCCCATCCTCAGTGTTTAGCAGTGTCACTTCTGCTTTCCTTGTTTGCTTATTTATATGTCATTGGAAGGTATAGGTTTTAAAGAAGTCACATTGTGCTTCTGTGATAGCTGTATGTAGAATCTGTTTTGACTGATTTTAGCAGTTTATTTTCTTTCCCAGGGCTATGATGAATCACCTCACAGCAGCCTATAATCACAGCCACTTTGCCAGGCTTTTTCAGAAACAGCTTATCCAGGTAAATAACTTATTGTATTTTTCATAAATAGAGCAGTTTTGCCAAGCTATAGCAAAATGTAACCTATTATTTATATGTTTGTACACATACTTTTTGCTGTAATTGAACACAAGCAATGAGAATTATTTGAGGGGGTGGGGAAAATGGATCTCATAGGCAGAATTAAGGCATTAGGGAGCCTTTCTCTTCTATGCTGGATTTGAAGTGATAGTCTAGATTTGTAGACCCATTATCTAATGACTTTTGAATGGGTTGTGTAACGTAAGTTTGTTCCATTACAGTTCCCAATGGACAAATGTCCACATCCTAATAGACACACTCAGGAATTAATCAATGACAGAGATTGGATTACTCAGTCTATTTCTACCTCTGAGATGATTTGTGTGTTTTGTAGCACACTGATAGGGCTGTGTAAGGAGCTAGGAATATACCGAGGGCTTTGGTCTTGACAGCTGTTCACCTAGCACATTTTACCAACAATAAAAATTAATATATTTGCAATTTAAAAAGTTTAGAAGTAGATGTATATCTGTTTCAGACTTGCCCAATTAAGTTTGTTGTGTTTCTCAGTGGAACTAATTGTGGTTGCTGGATCCAGATATGATGGCCCCAAATTTGGCTTAATTATGCCAGGAAGATGGTGTTCTGTCTAATTCTTTTACATGCTAACCTTCCAAGTAATGTATGAGATCACTGTAAGTGAAAGAGAATTTTCTGCTTGTTTGCTTTGTGTATAGTCTTGTCCATTGCTGATCCTGTATTGCTGGTCAGTTTCTCTTGTTTGTGGGTGGTCTCCATTTACATAGCACAATTGAGAGGAGTATTTTAAAAAAATCTAACCTAGGGATGTTAAGAGATTAACTGGTTAATCAATAAGCTTGATGATTATCAGTTTCTGTTAACGGGTAAGATTGCCAGTGTCTCAGCATGCTTACCCAGTATGTCCAGGGTCCCTTTTGGGCTGCTGGCTCAGTGCCTGCTGCTGCCATTCCTGGAGCTCTGCTGCTATCCTCCATGCCTGTGCACTTGGCATACCATCTGGCACCCTGTGCCAGAACTTTGCTGCAGTGAGGTGTGCCAGCTGCTGGGACCGAATGTGCTAGCATTCTGGGCAGCAGCAGAGACACAAGCATGATGTTCTTGTACTACACCAGAAGCCGGGGCGGGACACCTATGCAGGCGGCAGTAGAGTCCTGGAGGTGGTGGTGGCAGCAGTGGGGATCTGCAAATACCAGGGCAGCAATGGAGCTCTAAGTAAAACCTGGGGTGCTGTAGCGCACACACCCACACACACGTACCTGTAGTTTGCTGAGTAAACATTTAATTGATAGTTACTGTTTTTTAAAAGTGTGGCATAATCTCTAGCTGTAATCTGTGGGATATGTAGATTGTAGTGGGTTTTTCGCCCTTAGGTATGATGTCCATCTGCATTTGGAAAGGAAGATGTCAGTTTGGATCTGTGCAAGTTTTTGAGAAGTTGATGGATTTCCACTCCACACAGCTGAATGCAGTGCCTTGCATGTTTAGAAACTTCAGGGGGTAGCCAAGTTAGTCTGTACAGGATAAACTTAAAAAACAACAAATGATCTTGGTAGCACTTTGTAGACTAAAAAAAATGTAGATGGTATCATGAGCTTTCGTGGGCACAGCCCAATTATTCAGATGACCATCTATATATTTTGTTGGTCTATAAAGAGCTACCAGACCATTTGTTGTTTTTTTAAGTTTATCCTGTACAGACTAACTCGGCAACCCCCTGACGCTTCTGTATTTTAAAAGTTACTTAAATCCCTAATGAAAACACACACCCCGTATCAGAGGCAGCAAGGAGGAGCCGGCTTAAAAGTTGGTACTCCCAGCACCATCTGTACGGGGGGAGGAGAGGCAGGGGAGGCAGAAGCACAGTGCGAGGGGAGACTGCTTCAGTCCCCACTTGTGCTAGGTCCCAACTGCTGTGCCTCTGCCTTTAAAATGTGGGTAGCTCTTACTACATTTAAAAGGCAGAAGTGCAACCGAGATAGCAAGCATGCCCCCACTTTTAAAAGGCAGAAGTGCAACCGAGATAGCATGCATGCCCCCACTTCCATCAACTAATCGAGTAGTCGATGGAAGTTCCATTGACTACTTGATTAGCTGATGAATCTAAATTAATATCCCCAATCTAAACCCACAACATTTTTTCGGAAAGATTTGGTAAAATGCAGTACCAAAAACTACTTGCAATGCATATTTTTAAATTTCTCAACTTGTAATCAAATCGGTGTCCCTTTAGGATGGGACTTTCAAAGGAGATTAAGGAATTAGCTACCCAGCTTACAAATTGGGTACCTATCTCCCTTAGTCACCTTTGAAAATATGACCTTTTCAATATATTTCTAATCTGAAAAGACTACTTCTGCAGATGTGCTCCCTTTGTGTCTATATAATTGTCATCTGTTGACTTAATGAGGAAAATACACATGAACTGCTCTGGTTCTGTAAGGCTAACAGAAGAATGCTAGCTAAGAGACTAGGGTCATCAACAAAGATGTTAACTAGTTCCAGTTGCAAGGCCAGGTTTCTCCCTTGGTTGCATCTGAGCATTCCTACTGAAGATTGTAGAGTTTTCACAGGCTTTCTGTAATAAGGCACTGGTATAACTGTCCAGAATTTGACCTGCTTAGACTTGTGTGATTTGTGACCATCTAGGGAGATTGTGGACTTCACATATTGGAGATATTTAAGAGCAGGTTAGACAGCCATCTGTCAGGAATGATCTAGGTAGCGCTTGGTCCTGCCATGAGGGCCAGGGACTTGATTTGATGGACCTTTCAAGGTCCCTTCCGGTTCTAGTATTCTGTGATATTTAGGAAGGTATCCAACTTGATTCTCAGAGTCCACGGTGAATTTATGAGGTGGGCAGATGTAAAATTACTTTCCTTTATAATTTGAGCATATTCGGTTTAGAATTATTGAGATGTAATACATGTTAACGTCACCGTACTGTATTTTAAGGGGTGTACTTCTCATTGGGGTGCTAGAATTTAAAGCTGCATCCTTGAGGTGCCTAGGTAACTGATCAGCTTTGAGGGCTTGCTGACCTCTACCTTTGAGTGCTGAGCCACAGAGTTCTGTGTGGATGAGCTACTGCAAATAGTACTTAAAATCTGTGACACATTGAGGAGCCCCACGGAGCCTGGTCCAGATACATGCAGTAGATGACTGAGAAGTGCAGTCTTAAATAGTCCCGATCCCTGAGACGGTGCACTAAACGGTGGAAGACTGAACTTTGGTTCATGCAGGTTGTATAGTTATCCATAGGATTTATATTCTGGCTATGTAATAAGCTGGTCTGGCCCAGAAGCCTAGTGGCCTCATGTTATGTGTTGGATCTGGAGTCCATTCCTGAGACCACTAGGCTGGAAGGGTGTGGGTCTTGTGTGCTTTTCTATATATTCTCCCCTGTCCCCCTTGACTGTCTGAAGGAGGTAGCATTCAGAAGCTCTATAAGGAGCCATATCCAGTTCTTTGCGTTGGATAGGAAGCTCCTAAACCAAAAGTCTTTATACGGGGCAGAGTATGGATGGGGCAAGATATCCAAGATAAAAGAAAATCTTAAACTTCCCATCTCCCTCCTTTTTCCCCCCTCCTGAAGATGTGTAAAGGTCCTATTGGTGGTGGCACAAGTTGGGGTGATACCCCAGACCAGGATGTCCTAAATATGCTGGGTTCCGATAACCTGAACCGGCTGAAGAGGCTACAGGAGAGATTTGTCGTTCCTCAGAGCATCAGAGGGCCCTGCCCACCCCCTGCCTTCCCAGGGTGCCAGCAGTTCTTCAGGGACTTCATTCTCAGTGCAGGAAGGTTAGCTGCATATCACTGCTTCTGCCTTGGCTAAGTTTGGATGGTTGTTGGTTAATACCACTGGCTTGTGCCACAATTGGGGAGTTGACTGAGAGACTGGTCTTGGAACTCCAGGTCTTTGGGACAGTGGAGCCCTAGTGGGGATGTTTTCAAACTGCAGAAAGTTGTCATTTGCACTGCCCATTAAGTACTCCTGATTGGCAAAGTTACCAAATTACTCTTGTTTCCACTGGCACAATCCATCTTCCCCTCTTAAGAGTTACATCAGGCTAGTTCCTAGTTAGCTTACTACAGAATCAAACTGAATGTCTTGCCACAGGGGATCAGGATTTTCCAGAGCTACGAGGTGATTCAACAATGAACAGCAGGTGCTCTACATAGCTGAAGTGTTCCTCACAAGGTGATATTTAGTGCCCTGCAATGGAGTGTGAGGCTGCTACATGGTTAGCCCTTCAGTGCATAGATGCAGATCTCCCTTAGACTGCAACTGCAGTGAGTTTAGAGGACCTCACAATCTCATCTGTAGATCATCATCATTAGAACCAGCACACCATTGGAGAATAATGAGTCTCTGTTCCAGAGAAGCCCAAGATTAGAATGGAAGAAGTGTTAGTTTAATGTCGAGGTTGGCTAGTGTATTGACAGAGCTGTGTGCAGAGACTTTCCTGGAGTCTAAGAGCCAGACAGAGCCTGGGCAGACAGTGCTATTCTTGACCACACAATGTACTTGGAGCTTCCCTTAAATGAGCTGATGTTTTGTATCAACTCTCCCCAGCTTCAGTGATTAAGGCTTAAATATTAGTTGAGATTCCACTACTATTTTCACCTTCAGTCTGACTTTTCATCTTTTGCTGAAGCTACCAGTTCAACCAGCATCTGATGGATAGCCTGTGCCTAAAGATACTCGAGCTGGATGGCCTTACTTTTGTAGAGCATGAACCTAGTGATGGGGAAGCAGATATGGATGAACAGGTAAGTGTTATGTTCCAGGTAATTGCTAAAAATTTGTTCATTGATCAGTCCAACAGCTGGTTCATGACGATGGTTTCCTAGCTGTTAGTGATATAAATAAGAATGGATTTGTTTAAAATTCAGTTATAGTTGTAATTGTTACCCTCTTAAATTCTAAAATACTATTTGCTGTTTTGTCGCTGTGTGTGGAAGGTAAGAAATTTTCCACTAAAGTTCCAGTAGCCACTTTAGCTTTGCTTCTGTGTCCTGCTACAGTTATGGTTACAGCAGAAACTATGCAAAGCATGGCACTTTTGATGTTTAACAACTCTTAAAATGTGGTTTTACTCTAAAGAGTGACAAGTTTTGGCATCTTAGCAGGTCTGTTCACTGTGTTGAGTCTGATGGTCTGACTGCACTAAAAATAAAGTAATTTTTCATGTTAACTCTATAGAACTAACATACCTATAGGAGAGAGAATTAGGTTCTCTTCTGGCTTATGCAGCATCATCAGAATTGTTAACTAAGTTCTGACTGTAAGGCTAACCGTGCAATCCCATTGTTCTCAAACTTTGCCTAGTTGTCTGTGCAACTCCACTAAAATCCTGAGGTTTTTACAGATGTAACAGAAGTCAGAATATGGCCAGCAGGATCTTTCATGATCATGTTGTACAACTCCCAAATAATTTAGTTTGCCTAAGATCCCAGGGTTTGTTGTTTCTTCAACTCTGGCAACAAAGCAAGCACAGCACGTAGCCAACAGCAGCCGAGCCGCAGCTGATGTCCCTGAGAACTTAGAGCAGGTTCACCCTGAAAAATGATTTGGTGAAGATGGCAGCCTAGCGTCCTACATGTGGTGTTTCAATGACTGATAGCTCAGCTTAAAAGTTGCTCCAGGGGTGACCTTGGCAATTACAGCCTGTAAGCCTGCTTTCAGGTACCGGGCAAACTGAAACTGTAGTAAAGAACAGAATTGTTAGATACATAGATAAACATAATTTATTGGGGAAGAGTCAACATGGGTTTTGTAAAGGGAAATAATGTTTCACCAGTCTACAAGAATTCTTTGACAGGGTCAGCAAGCATGTGGACTGGGATTCGGTGGATATAGTGTATTTAAGCTATTCAGAAAGCCTTTGATGTGGTCCCTCACTGTACCCTCTTTAGCCAAGTAAGCTGCCATGATGCAAGAGGGAAGGTCTTCTCGTAGATTGGTAACTGGTTAAAAGATAGGAAGCAAAGGTAGGTATAAAGGGTCAGTTTTCAGAAAGGAGAAAGGTAAATAATGGTGTCCCGGAAGGTCTGTTCTGGGGTTAGTCATATTGATAAATGATCTAGAAAAGGGGATAAATGAGGCAGCAAAATTTGTGGATTCTACAAAACTGCTCATGATAGTTAAGTCCAAGGCAGACTGCAAAGAGCTACAAAAGGATCTCTCAAAACTAGGCAGCTGGGGCAACAAAATCGCAGATTAAATTTAATGTTGATAAATGTAAAGTAATGTACTCTGGAAAGTATAATCCCAGCTATACATATAAAAGAATAGAGCCTAAATTAGGGATGCACAGTCTGGGTTGTGTGTGTGTGGGGGAGGAGGGGGGAGAACTTGGAGTCATCATGAATAGTTTATTGAAAACATTTACTCAACGTGCAGCAACAGTCAAAGAGGAAAAATATAGGGAATCGGTCAGCAATGGATAGATAAGATTGAAAATATCATATTGTCCCTATATAAATCCTTGGTGTACACCCACATCTTGAATATACTGTGTGCAAATGTGGTTGAGTACTGCTCTAAAAAGATACATTTTGGAATCAGGAAAGGTTCAGAAAAGCGCAACAAAAATAATTAGGGATATGGAATGGCTTCCGTGTGAGGTGAGGGTGATACATGGGGGTTCATGAGGGGTCACATGCACCCTTCCGAGGTGGGAGAGGCTGGCCAGCAGTTGGCAAGGAGACTAGTGGAGCCGGAGGGCTGGTTCTGGCAGCAGAAGTTCCCCTGCACTTACTAGCAGTGCCGCAGTGTGGAAAGTGCAGCAAGGCAGCACTACCTCGTGCTGCTCTCAGGCCATGCTGTTTGGGGGATAAAGGCGGAACCACCCCAGCACTCAATGGAAGTGGTGTGTGTGAGTAGGGTAGAAGTGGAGCAAGGGGGGGGAGGCTTGATGTGGAGGGGGTACTCATGGTTGGCGCCCCCTTACCAATCACCTCTGATGTGAGAAGAGATTAATAAGGCTGGGACTTTTCAACTTGGAAAAGAAACAGCTAAGGGGGCTGTATGGTTGAGGTCTGTAATATTGTGATAGCTGTAGAGAAGGTAGATAAGGACATACTGCTTACTCCTCCTCATAACACAAGATCTAGGGAGTCTCCAAATGAAATTAATAGGCAGCAGGTTTAATACAAATGAAAAGGAGTATTTTTTTCATACAAAACATAGTTCCACAGGTTAACTCTGCCAGAAGATGTTGTGAAGGCCAAGATTATAACAGGATTCAAAAAAGAATCCTACATTTCATGTAGGATGGGTCCATTAATGGCTGTTAGCTGGGAGGGGCAGGGATGGTGTCCATAGCCTCTGTTAGAAGCTGGGAAAGGGCAATGGGGTGGATTACTACTTGTGCACATTCCCTCTGAGGCACCTGGCATTTGTCGCTGTTGGAAGACAGGATGCTTGGCTAGATGGACCTTTGATCTGACCTACTATGACTGCTCTTAGGCTTCCCAGTTTGTGGTGGTGTTGCTGACCAGTTTTACTTTTCCCTGTTTCAGGATGAAAAAAAGCATTTCATGGTGGCCCTGATGACTCTCCGACTCCTGGGAAAGTTTCTGGGATTTCTTGTTTTCCTGCCATATCGAACAGTGGAACCACCGAGTAGAGACTTGCAGGAATCTGCAGTGGCATTAAGGAATCAAGTAAGTAACAGCTAGAAAACCAGCCTGTACCTTCTGGGCTTTTGCTTGGCAAGTAAGTTTTCTTTGCCCCCTGATGAGGCAGGTATTTCTCTGCTGCCTCTGGCAACGTCAAGTCGTGAGGTGGGACAGTCTCCCTGATGAGTTCCACACTGTGCTGTGCCTTATCTCCTACATGTGTGCCCTGCTGGGTGAAGAGAAGTGTATAAGATAGAGAAAAGGGAGGCGTTAGTGGAGCAGTGCTGACTTTGTTGATAATGCTGTTGAATCATGGGCATTGTATCAGACCTGATTTTGCTGCAAAGACTTCCTTTTTCACATTGTAGGTAAGGGTTCTACTGCCAGAAACACTTTCAGAAGTGTCTG